CACCAGGCTTCATGATGTTCAGTGTGCCATTGGTGGCAGGAAGGGTGAAGTCTGCGTTAATCAACTCTTGGGCTGGCCTTGACCTAGAGGCCCTAGTTGTGCGTTGTTCTACTTGGGTTGTATCGAGCACAAACTCAAGTGACCGCGGAGCCCCTATTGAGTAAGTGCAAATGGAGCTGGACTGTGATATTATTAGGTCTTCATCGTCTTTATAGTGAACTTTTTTCTTCATGCCGTAAAAAAGATAGACTCAGAGCTAAATTTAAAATTTCTGGTTCTATTTCTGATGAGTTAAAGTTTGTTACTAGCCGTAAAGATTTTAAGAGGCTTTCATCAGCCAAAATAAGAGACAATCTTTTCAATAGTGATGATCCAGCGCTTATAACTAAGAAGTTTTGGTCACATGTTAAGTATAAATCTAACTCCTGCCGTATTCCTAATTGTGTTAGTTATTCTGGACAGCTTCGGTTCAAACCCAAAGCTCAAGCTGAACTTTTCAATTCTTTCTTTTATAACCAGTTTTTGGATCCTTCACTTTATGACACTGACATCTCCTATGTCAATGATGTTGATTTTGATATTGACTTCGATCATCGGGATGTTCGTAAGCTTCTTTCAAATATTAATTCAAATAAAGCCCAGGGACCAGATGGCATACACGGTAAAATTCTCAAAAATTGTTCCGTAGGTTTAGCTTACCCTCTAACATGCATTTTTCGTGGATCTTACAACAGCGGCTACATTCCACAAGAATGGAAACTTGCAAATGTTGTCCCAATATTTAAGAAAGGTAAGAAAAGTGAGGTTGAAAACTATAGACCAATATCCCTTACTTGTTTAGTCATGAAAGTTTTTGAGCGCATTGTTAAACGTAAACTGCTTTCTTTGACAAGTACCCTTCTTGATCCCAGGCAGCATGGTTTTCTAGAGCACAAGTCATGCACAACCAATATGGTTGACTTTTGTGATAGCCTGGCATTGTCTCTTAACGAAAACATTATCAATCATGTTGTGTATTTTGATTTTGCTAAGGCATTTGATTCTGTAAATCATGATATCCTTCTTCATAAGCTAAAGACCTTATATAACATTGATGGTACACTTCTCAAATTTCTTACCAATTACCTTCAAGGCCGTTACCAAAGAGTGGTTATTGGTAATGAGATGTCATCTACCCTCTCAGTTAATTCTGGTGTCCCCCAGGGCTCTATTCTTGGTCCCTTACTTTTTGTATTGTTTATCAATGATATTCCTCTTGGCCTTTCGGATAATACTGATATTGTTTTGTATGCCGATGATACAAAAATCTGGCGTAAAATACATTCATCTTCTGATAATACTAATTTACAAATGGATATAGACTATCTCTCTGACTGGGCACTAAGAAACAAAATGCGATTCCATCCAGCAAAATGTAAAGTGCTTATTGTTTCAGGAAAACCATCTTTATCTCCTCCATTCGCATATAATCTTGATGGCTCTCCTCTTGTGTATGTAGAGTTAGAAAAAGATCTTGGAGTCGATGTTACTCCTAAGCTAAGTTGGAATAGTCAGTGCGACAGAATTTATACTAAGGCCTGCCAACAACTTGGTATGGTCAGAAGAGATGGCCATATTGTCATTGATCAGAAACGTCGCCGGGCGCTTTACCTCTCCCTGGTTCGTAGCCAATTCGAAAATTGTTCCATAATCTGGCGCCCTTGTAATAAATCACTTAGTGATAAATTAGAAAGTCTCCAAAAGAGAGCTGTTAAATGGATTCTGTCTGAAGAGGGCCGCAGTTATCCACCTGAGCAATATGTCAAAAAGTGCAAGCTTGTCGACATTCTCCCTTTGTCTCAAAAGTTTGACTTGAATGATCTTATTTTTTTCCACAAAGTTCTTAACAATTTAATTCCTGTATCGCTGCCTCACTATCTCTCTTTATATCAGGACACTTCTCGACTAAGACGTTGCCACCTCGACAGTCTGTCTATTGTGTCATCAATTTTACCTAAGTTAAGTCAGAATTCACACACCACATGTACCTCAAATAGCCCACTGGCAAAATCATTTTTCTACAGAACCCATATACTGTGGAATGGACTCCCTTTACAGGTAAGACAGATTGTGTCTACTAGTCTTTTCAAAGCTGAGGTCACTAAGCATCTATGGAAATGTTTATTGGATAGTGAAACAACAGTCTAGCCTAGTCTCTTTGCTCCCCATATTATTATTATTTTTGTTTTATTAATTTTTTTATCTACCTTCCCATACTTTCAACATCATATCACACTTCACCCGCACACCTTCTCACACATTAATGACCATTTCAGACCTGTATCTAATGTATCTGGAATTTGACGTATTGAAATACCAATTTTGACTCTATATCCACAGTTATTCACCATGGATTTGTTTGTTATTAAATAGTTTTTCATAAATTTTTGGATTTAGATTAATTCGATGTAATGGGTCCAAGTTACTGCGGACATAGTTCACTATGTGTTTACCGTGTTTGGGTGCCCATCATATTTTACAGATGGGGGCGATATTTTGAACGATTCTATTTTATATTCATCTATTGCTGTACTCTGTAAAATTTGAAAAGTATTTAATAAAAAAAAATAATAATATTATATAGGTGTATCAAATAACAACATTAGCTTGTTATCGCATCTCATTGTGACGTGGCAACTGATGATTGGACATTGGGTGGAAGAACCACTCTTCGCTGGCAGGATCACTGGCAAATGCGTACATTGAGCAGTCATAAACCTCTGTGACCAAGTTTTCGGCTGATTGTTTTATTCTTTATTCGTTCTTATTTCGTACTAGCATATCATATGCTTTACTTTGAGAAATTCATATTCCTTCGTTTCATCTGAACATTCCAGCCAAAAGGTAAGTGTAGGATTAATATTGATAAATCTTTATAAGTTGCAACATTTGTTTTGAAAATCGTACATGTAAAGTGATCAAGTACGAGTAGGAGTGGTATACAACTACAAGTGCAACACTTATGACGTATATTATCGCCCAGTTGTGTCACAATCAAACTTTACAAATTTGATAGTTAAGAAATCAAGATAATCTGTGAGGCTTATTTCAAGACAACCATCTCTTTTCAGCAGATAAATACAGTATGTGTACAGATATCGTGTGCTGTCTCACATGCGGATTATGTACAACAAGCGGCTTGAGGAGAGCTGTCTGCATAGTCTTCTTTTTAATTTCCATCTTTCTACAGATAAAAGGAATCTCCTCTAAAGACCCTGATTGGGAAAAGTTTTACAAATGGATGCCATTACTTATAAATGTCTGCATATTAGTTGAAATAATCCATTTACGATGTTGTAAAAATGAGGTCGGACTACCTAGTTAAGTGACATAAGTTCAGTTTCGTCAAACATATGATTTAACTTTAACACACATGTGGTCTTTTTGGGATCATTTTGAGTTTCAAACTTTCCCTATTTTGGCAATAATATTGATCTTGTGTAGTGTGTACATATGCTGGAAATTATGGCCCAACCAATTTGTAATTTACCATTTCAGTATTTTATTTTTTAACATGAGATGTTTGTCTATCTTATCATTAGATCTGTTTTATTTACAAAAACGTTGTGTCATCATTAAGATGGCACTCCATCATTGAAGACTCATCCCGAAAAGTATTATAAGATCAGGTGATATGAACCATGAGCCACGTGATAGAGGATAATATCTAGATCTCTCCTAATTAGTTCACCCTATTCACCTAGTAAGATGGAGGTTGAATGTTGATGTACAATGTACAATGCACAATGTACAATGCACAATGTACAATGTAAAATGTACAATGTACAATGTACAATGTACAATGTACAATGTACAATTTACAATGTACATGAACTTCACCAGAATGTTGTGACACCGGGTGCGGGAAGAAATCCGTTTAGCTGGCATGATCACTAGAAATTGCGTGGAATCATACAAAAAGCAGTATATTCAACATTTATGCTTTTGATCTGCACTTAGCATTAAGTCATAAGACTCTGTGATCGAGTTTGTCGGATAAGTGCTTTATTCTTTGTTCGTTCCTTGTGTTTCGTAAGTTGCATAATTTTCTTACCGTTGGAAATAATGTTTCTTCGTTTCATCTGAACATTGCCAATACCCGGCCAAAAGGTAGGTGTAGGATAGATTTTTATCAATCCATACCAATCCATCTAATTTGCAATAGTCAGGTAGAGAATTGTAGTATGCAGTTCAAAGCGCTCGACTACAAGTACTCAAGCAGTAGAAGTATTATACGTGAACATAACGTGTTCGTCACCCCAGGTATGAACGGAAACGTGAACCTGTTCTGAGACTTGGTTCCACATCAGTGCAGTTACAGTATGTGTAGCTACATAGTTTGTTGTCTGACATGCGGAAAATGTACAACGAGCGACGTTAAAAGAGCCGTCTGCATAGTTCTATTTTTAGCTTCCATCTTGTTACAGATAATAGGAATAATCATTGGTCACGGAACTCATTGGACTCTTGATTGGGCGCCTGTACTGGTGAATGTGTGCGTAGTACTACCGTTTATTTTACGAAAGATAGATCGAAAAAAAGAGATCAAAAAAGAGGTCCCTAAAACATTAGATGTATGATTTAATTTGAACTAAAATGGGGTATTTTTTGTGGTATTCTGTGCTTTCTGATTTGTGGTTATCTTTATCTTGCTATTGAGTGCAGGCCAACCAAATTATAATTCGTTTTTAATAATTTTTTGTACTTGTGTAGGTCTGTAGAAGCATTAGAATCGGGCGTTGCCTGCCACAGGCTATCCTGAATTTAGAAGCTTGCTTTAATAAAATAATCTGGTATTTTATTTAAATTCAGTCTTGTCTCCAAAAAGTTGTTTTACTATTTCATATGGCCATCATTTTGAAATAATAACTTTAAAAATTGTGATAATACAAAATCAGGTGATATCAACCACGTGATAGATTTAATATCTTGATCGTATAACAATCAGTTCTGCTACTCACCTGTAGTAAGGTTGAGGTTGATGTACATGAACTTTACCAGACTGTTAATAGTCGTGGAGCGAGGAACGTCCGTTACTTCAAACCTGTCCCTTATCTTCGTACTTATATCCTCGTTTACCTGATAAATATTTAAATAGAATTATACAAATAATAGTTATAGAACGTGAAGAAAACTTTAAATCTGATCCACTGTTCCGCAAAATAGTATTATATTTAATATTCTTAAAACACAATTTCCACCTGTGCTTGAAGAACTGACAGTTTCTTGGACCAGCTCCTCATTTTGGGGACCTCATGAACGCCCTCCAACTTTGACAGCTCCTTTCCAATAACCTCTATCTTCAGTGTGTACTCCTTCTTCTGTCTGATGATGTCAAGAGACTGTGCGATGTTGGGTAACTCTTCCAGTGCTTTTGTGTTTAGAACTAACTTGTCTTGCAGCGAATCTGGAACACAGGCAGTGGTACTTTATTACAGTTTTCATCACAAATAATACCCAAATTGTATTCTTATTATTTAATGCGATTCACCAAGCTCGTTTATTACGTATTCGCTGAACAAAACAAGTATATGTAGAAATTGAGCTCTTGTTAAAAGGGGTGAGGATGATAAAAGGGCTCGCAGGATAGCTCAGAATTACCTACTCGGTTGACGACAGCAAGTGCCTGTTTGAACTGAAGACCTCTCATGAGGAGGGCAATAAAGAAAGCGCAGATAGCCATGAGATCACAGTGGACCAGGTCCTCACTGTCCACCTTGTGGTCGACTCCCATCATCTCACCCACTAAATCCAGTGCTAGTCTTATTGTCCATCTGAACAGCAGTTCTATTTAAAACAAAACAAAAGATAAGAACACTTTTACTGAATCTTGCTTTATGGCGTATGAATTGAGAAACCAAAATCTTATTTGAACAGCACTAGTACAACTGTTAGTTTAGCAAGAAACTAGAAATTACTGACCTGTCGTTAAGGAGGACCTCAGGTGTAAAAGTGGAGGGGAAGAGAGCGTTTATTAATCTGAGGAGTATTCTTGTGTCGGAGAGATCTTCAATATCGTTGAGAGGTGGTGATCGTTTGCCACTTGAACCTTCATGATCGATATATATTTGTATCGCCTGGAATAAAGATGCATTCACTAGAACTATTCTATGAATAGTGAGATGAAGTCTGACGACTCTTTTAATGCAGTTTAATGAAACTTACCTGTGCTCAACAATGCTCATCGTTAATTTGAAGTACCACTACACTATCAACCCAGAAAATTATTAATCTAAAAACGATGTGGTCTACACAGATGATTCAGACCACTGCACTACTATTTCACGATCTAATTTACCACAACCGATTCCATCATCCACAATATATCATGCTGATTATAGTAATATTTAGTCCATTGTTGCTATTTTATATTACAAGCATACCAATACACATTGCATAAATGACAATAGAATCAGATCAATAATCATATTATGCATGCTATCAAATGGTAAGAAGCATAAATGAATCCAGTGCGTGTATAAGCCGATTAGAACAGGAATAAAGTGAGTGCATGTGATTAAACGGAATGTAATGTTCACTGTCGGAGATGATTAACAGATTAGCTGAAGACTGGATTAATTAAACAAGTACCTCAATGACTGATTCTTCGGGTTTCATCTTCTTTTTCTTGTCTTTCAATTTTCGCTGCTTTTCCTGCATTATGTAATTGATTAAAGCTCTTTTAAATTTAAAATAATCATCTGGAAAATCACTGACAGAATCTTAGGATAAGATACGAATTTACTGAAGGCTTAGTTTAAACAAAGGAATAATACAATAATTCCGTTATCCATTTAAACATCCAATTGTATAAAACGACACTCACCTGATTTTGCATTTGTTTGTAGGAGTAGTTGTTACCATCAGTGTAGCCTGGACTCTCTGGTCTGGGTTGTGGTATCCAGGAATAGGACTCGTTTAATATCATAAACTCGTTGGCATGGTACTTTCCTGTCTTGTCCCACGTTTCACGAATGTCGTATTTTACTAGATTCCAAAGGAACCAGGATATCTTGATTGGAAAAGCTGAGTTACAACTTTAAAAGATCATTCCTATAAAAATAAACAGTCGGTGTGGATCATATTATATCGCGCTGCTAAAAGTTCACTGACCCATTTAAATTTCAATTATTTATTTACTTCTTGAGAGTTGAAAACTGGCAAAAAGTTAAACTAACTAACCTCCTCCTGGTCACCGATTACTAAGCGATCTCTGTCGTACACATAGTTGTAAGGTAAAATATCATTGTCTTGTAGTTCTGCAATAATCCACTCAATACGTGTCTTTTTTTGTTGATCTGTCAACTCATCACACGACTGAACTTTTTTCATTTCACGACCTTGGAAAAGTTTAAGTTTACACTCTCATGAAGTTTAATCTGAAAGGTAACATCACTTGATTTGAAATCTATTTGTCATTCATCACTTTGAAGTTTAGCAATGATGATGATAATATTTTAATCATAAATGTTTATCTCATACCAAGAAAAGATTCTGCAAGGTGCTTTAATGTAAATCCTCGAAAAAGATCTTTGAAAATGTTGGTCGTTTTCGTGCCATAAGAAAGAAGTCTGATGTTCAGCCAGAATCCAAAGCAACTAGTTCGTGTGTATTGCTGCATGTCTGAAAGAGATCTCTGTATAATATTGCGATTCATTACAATAACAAGGACAGAATATATTTATTCTAAGTGGCATAAAAAACTGGTAATCTAATACTATTTATACCATAATTCACTAAGAAATAAAAACACAGATTTGTAAAGTTTTGGACACAGACAATATAATTTATGGCATATTTATATTACGTGTTGATCTGAATAATCGAATAGCACCATATTTTATATTTTAAAATATTTTTCAGTACGACTGTGTACATGAAATATTATAGAGGAAAGGTGATATCATAAATATTTAAATATAGTAATACTGATCTTTGAATGACAGTACCTTATATCAGTAAGCTTTAAACCAACTCGACCTCACTTTTGTCACAATTGTCACAAGCATTAATGGAATCAGTTCACATGGTAAAGTCTAGAGAGAGAGAGTTAAATTAGCATGCAGTACTCAGGTTATTGCTTTGTTAGATATAAGCCTGCTGAGATAATATGTGGATTGTAGTAGAAGTACAATCATTGAGTATTGTTACAACTAGTTGCATAGCTATTGAATATCTGTAATCAATATTTCTGACACTGCTTCATTGAAGTCTTTAAAATCCTTTAATTGATACATGACCAAGGCCAAACTATATTCACAAGAGGAAAGGAAACATTTGGACTTGCTCTTTGGCCATCAGGCAATTTTGTCTACAGAGTTAGATTCATTATATGGCAGTAACAAATAAATTCACCACCATGGCATAACTAATAACATTACTATCCATTAACAGTACTTAGAGTTAGTTCAGATATTGTACACCTTTTAGTCTCAAATTCATAAAAATGCTGCCACCCTTCACATAGCAGTGATGTAACGAAGGGCCCCGCTGACCCAGCTGTGCGGTGGGCGCCATCTTAGGGGCTCAAGAAACACACTTTATTAGAGATTTTACCGGCGTATCCTCTAAAATCACCAAATTTGTTCAATTTTAGGGAGGGGCGCCAAAAGGGGAGGGGCGCCAACAGGGGGGCGCATTTTCGGCAGGGGTGCCAACAGGCAACGTTATGCCACTGTCACATAGCTCAGAGGTAACAGAACAGTCATGGTACCAACAGAGACATAGATAGGCTGTGGCAAAAGCAGGCAATGCTTGCTCCAGAAAACACTTTGCCTGCTCTTGAAAATTTAACAATGTAATAATGTTCATGTTATTAAGAAAAAAGCACACACTTTTAGTGTTCACATTGATATCAATCACCAAATTTCAACTGCAGCAAGTGCAGAAACAGGTCAAAAGCCACAGTTGCCACCATGCTTCGAGTTTCATGGGTTATCTTGTGAATCTTGGGCTTGAAAAGGTGAAAAATTCAAAAATTTTATCCACAAGAAAACAATATTTTTCCTGAAAACTTCTGTGCTAGGATGCATGGAAAACGCATTCAGTGACCACAATCTTTAATCTTCGGAGTTGCTTTGAAATTGCTCCATGGTTTATCGTCAATCATGTGAATTACCCAGCTTTGTGTGATCACGGCTGGGGCAATGCATGCTTCAACGAAAAATTCTGGCTAAGTCTTTGGACACCAATAATCGGGAAATCTGTAATCGAGGGATTGGGGATCCTGCTGAAAGATTTAGTAAAACAATTTTTTTTTCTAAGGGTACCCTTCAGTAAATCGCAGCACTACTATACCTTACTCGGGATTATTATAACCGGGATAAAGTGGTGGGTTTTGAAAGATTCCGCCATATTTTTCCCGGTCAAAAATTTTACCAGTCATAAAAAAACCCGCCGACTCAGATTATGGGGTTCCAAGGGGGTGGTGATCATCATATTTTACCTGAAGTCTCATATGTGCTAGAGAATACTTTTGAAGCAGTGGATGGAGGGCTGTAACTTTATTGGCGGTTGCTACCATAATTTCGTTATAAAAATCACAATTTGGTTATAGAAATCAGATTTCAGGGTGGACCGTGATTCTCACTTTTCTTGCCCATGAAGTGAGTAAACTGTGCCACTATTTCATGGTCCACGGTGGATTGATTACTGGAGCAGTTGAAGATGCAAAGCCAAGACGTTCCCCAATACCAAGCGGTGGGCAGGAAATTAAGCTCCGGCTGACCTTCAGAGCAGTAGCCCCATTAGCGGACAAAATGAAAGTCTTGTTAAGACAACAATACAACTTCGAATTTGACGGTCAGCAGCAGGGGGATATCAATAATGATAATGGAGGGGACATTAGCGATAATGAGAATGAGAATACGCTTTAATGAAGATTTGACTTATTATTGCTATAGATTTATTTTCCTTTAAATACTAGACGTGTCTTTTTTTCTATTTCTGAGTAATATCAGTAACTGTAAATTGAAATAACTTCTTTAACAAGTAACAAAAACAGAAATTTCGGTTGAAAATTTGTTGACCTCTGAAAAAAAAACTTGAAAGGTCGGCCACCGGTAAATACATGACCGGGATAATTTGGCGGGTTTTGGGAAATTCCGCCATATTTTTCCCGGTTATTAATTTTCCCAGTCATAAATTAACCCGCTATAATATTCCCGAGTAAGGTACACTACACTACTATAACAGCTTATGTTATGCCAACAGTTGTTATTAATTATTTAGATTTAAACCAATCCAGTTCTGACTGTTGATATTCTTTAAAATTTAATAAAATTTATTTTTGTATCTCAAAAATAATGTTGAGTTTTTAATATAACGTAAAATTTTAGCTATTCCCGTACAGCTTAAGTATGCGCGTTTGAATTAAACTATGAACAATGAACATGCTAGCTCTTTTTATTTTGTTAGTTGGGCGACATTCTATAAATCGTACTGGACCTAACAAGTTTATTATTGTAGGTTTACAACCTACCAGGACGCGCGCCGAGTTGGACTCGTCGACGGATATATATATATATGGAACAGATATTTTATGAGTATCACCCGTTAAGTTTATTATTGGATGTCTCATAATTATTACTAAATAAATATTTGTGATTTTACCTAATGCAGAGATGAGAAAGCCTTCGTGCTTGCATGGTAATATATTTCCTGGGGACCTCAGGCTATCATGTTCATAAACATAATAGTCTATCATGTTCATAAACTAATAGAAATTATATTAGGCGGAATGACAGGCTGAGCGCGGCCCAGTAAGGTAGTATAGCGCTTGACGGATGTTACTCCTCTAAATTTCTTCGAAGTAGCTTGCCACTTTCTTCTCGAAATGAAGTAGCGCGCGCCGGGCCAAACCATTAACAATGGTCAAGTATAGCGCGCGCTTACCGACTCATGACTATGTGAAATTTATGATGATCAATTGATTTAAGATGTCAATCCTTCAAAGGTCGGCGAGGCCCAATGGTGCATTTCCAATCTCGCCGATCTACCAAGAGGAATTGTTTGATGCGCGGCCCAGTAGTGTTTCTCCCAATATTTGAGATAGGGAATATATTGATTTTTAGAAAGGTTGTTTTTATATATATAATAGGGTCATTGTGACAATTATGTGTACATTGTTTAAAATTTCCAAAAATAAAATAGATTTATAAGATTCAAGATTCAAGCTTACTGGGCCGCGCTCAGCCTGTCATTCCGCCAAATCTATATGAACATGATAGCCTGGGGTCCTCAGGTAAGATTCAAGCTTATTTTGCTACACGTTGTATACTTCTCGTGCACTCGATCAAAACACAAAAGGGGTTACAGCGTGTGCGCATGTCAAAGCTTATATATTACATAAAATCTTTTATTCGGGTGCGTGCAGAGAGAAACAAGCAATAATTAGCAAGCTAGGTAAGCATCGCCCGTAAATTATTTACAGGTCCTTTGGGGAATAAAAGTAAATCATACTTTTGAGTTTAAGGAATACAAATTTTTACAAATTACAAATCATATTATATCGCGTGTTACAAGAATTGATCGCTTGTCTAATTAAATGAATATTGCTTACTATTTGTCAATTGCGAAGTAACCAATTAGGGCTATTAAATGCCGAACACAAGGATATTTCGTATTCGGATCATATGCCTGCAGGCTGTCTGTCGCTTAAGACCATGGTCGCTCTTAACTGAGCGATAAGTGACGTTAAGTGAGACCGTGAGCATCACTTCTTGCCAATTTGCTTTTGAATTACCTACGGCTCAATCATGAAGTTAAACAGTACAAGTTGTGTTTTAACGGCAAAATACAGCGAATTCTAGCCCTCGAAAGTTGTAGGTTTGGAAGATCAATACGGCTGCTTTAATTCATAAAAGTCTTAAGTTAGAACGGCCAAAACACCCTACTCGGCGTCAGCTAGCTGCATGCGAAGTAACCAATTAGGGCTATTAAATGCCGAACACAAGGATATTTCGTATTCGGATCATATGCCTGCAGGCTGTCTGTCGCTTAAGACCATGGTCGCTCTTAACTGAGCGATAAGTGACGTTAAGTGAGACCGTGAGCATCACTTCTTGCCAATTTGCTTTTGAATTACCTACGGCTCAATCATGAAGTTAAACAGTACAAGTTGTGTTTTAACGGCAAAATACAGCGAATTCTAGCCCTCGAAAGTTGTAGGTTTGGAAGATCAATACGGCTGCTTTAATTCATAAAAGTCTTAAGTTAGAACGGCCAAAACACCCTACTCGGCGTCAGCTAGCTGCATGCGAAGTAACCAATTAGGGCTATTAATGCCGAACAGTCTATAGTTTCAACCACACTTTTCTTACCTTTCTTAAATATGGGACAAACATTTGCAAGTTTTCCATTCCTGTGTATGTAGCGCTGTTGTAAGATCCACGAAAAATGCAATGTTAGAGGTAAGCAAAACCTACGGAACAATTTTTGATAATTTACGTGTATGCCATCTGGTCCCTGGGCTTTATTTGAAATTAAGATATTTGAAAGGAAGCTTACGAACATCCCGATGATCGAAGTCAATATCAAAATCAACATCATTACATAGGAGATAACATTCATAAAAGTAAGGATCCGAAAACTGGTTATAAAGAAAGAATTGAAAAGTTCAGCTTTGACTTAGGTTGAACCGAAGCTGTCCAAATAACTAACACAATTAGGAGATACGGCAGGAGTTAGATTTAGACTTAACATGTACCAAAACTTCATAGTATTAGCGCTGGATCATCACTATTGATAAGATTGTCTCTTATTTTTGGCTGATGAATCCTCTTAAAATCTTACGAGCTAGTAACAAACTTTAACGCACAAAATAAACACTGGGTAAAACACCAAAATTTTAATTAGATCTGAGTCTATCCTTTTTAACGCATGAAGAAAAAAGTTTCACTATCGAACCACGGGTTGAAACTCTGATTTAAATAGTTACTTTAGGAATATGTATATCAACTAAATCATAATGCAGTCTTTAACTAACTTCAAACGATCAGATCTAGGCATTCTAGACTTGCAATTAATCGACATAAATTC